CTGCCGTCCCGTTTGAGGCACTTGAAGTTGGAGTTGGCTGACAATTTTGACAAGCTTTCTAATTCCTTGGACCCGCTTTCTTGGCTCCAAGACTTTATTATCTGGAATGTTGGAAGGATTCGGACCCTTCCAGGAAGCATTGGTTCCTCATTGCTGCAGCTGCGAAATCTGCAGATATGCCACTTCAAGGAGCTGCCAGAAATGGTATCACAGCTCCAACACCTGACATCGTTGAAGGTCAATGCACGCAAGATGGCTGCTATACCCGATGGCATTGGTGCATTATCCAGGCTCCGTCAGCTGGATATGTCGGGGTGTAATGCCCTGCAGCAACTACCACCTTCGTTGACACAGCTTCGCTTCCTCTGCATGCTTAAGCTTGAGAGAACATCCATCAGCTCACTTCCTCCCGGGTTTGCACAGCTGACACGGCTGAGGATTCTCAGCCTGCTGGGCTGCGTGCGATTGAAGGCCTTGCCAGAGGATTTTGAAGGAATATATTAGAGAGCGTAGTGATGGCGAGAGAGTCTCTGCTATGGGAATGATGTTGCGCCAGCAACTTGGTAGATTTTTGGTAGCGTTTGCCTCTAAGGACTATGTGAGAATTGAAGTAGCATTTGGGCCAAGTAGAATTGCAATATCAACTATCAAACACTCAAGCAAACACAAACATATATAGGCAAGCAAGAGTTGCACAAATGTTGCGTGGCGCTGCGAGTAACCCAACCCACAAGAAAGTGCTGTGCAGGTGGGTGAACGAGCCCCGCACATTTCCAACCCAACTCGGCACCGGAATGTCTCACCGTGCACGCCACTCCTGCCAACACAGCAAGTGAGCGGCATGCCTCACAAGCAAGGCACCTACGACCCCCAAGACTCGTCATTTTTAGCACTGATTCCGCCGAGTTTGCTGCAGTAGCTCACAGTCACCCGTAGTCACTAATGACCGCCACCGAACTCGTGCGTCGGTGCCGAGTAGACTCAGTCGTTAGGCGCCGACCTGCCAAGTCAAAGGTCATCGAGGGCCCTTGCTGTCGTAGGGCCCTCTAACACTCCCCTGCCATACTACAGCAAGGCCCTTTATAATCACAGGGCATGCATACACACATACACACCAAAACAAAGGGATACACACAAACGAAACACGCTCAAAGTGTAAACACGCACCGCACCAGCCATGGATAGGCCATGTCACCATCCACATCATGGAGTGTCTAGGTCTCACTCCCCTCGCTCGAGAGCCGCACCTGCCCCACAGCCTCGAAGCAACGACTCAAGGCGGGGAAATGCAATGCCTTCGTGAGGTAGTCATCAGGCTGCTCGCTCGTAGGGATGTACTGCAGCTGCAGCTTCCTGCGCTTGACCATGTGCTGCAGCCACATGTGACGACGCTCCATGTGCTTGAGGCTCCCCTTGAGCCCCATGCCACCTGCCACTGAAATGGCGGAGGAGTTGTCCACAAAGAGAGTCGTGGGCTCCTCACTCCTCAGCAGTTGAAACTCTGCCAGCAGGAAGCGCAGCCTGCGCGCCTCCTTCCCAGCCTCCACAGCAGCAACGTTCTCAGACTCGGTGGAGGAGAGGGTGGCGCAACGAATCCTCTGGCTCGCCCATGAGACAGCAGCACCCCCGAGCACGAAGACATAGCCACCTGTGCTGGTCCTGTTCTACTTGTCCCCTGCATCATCAGCATCGGCGTAGCCCACCAGCTCCAAGGACTCCGGCCCACCACCAAACTCCAGCGCCACATCCCTGCTCCCCACCAAGTACGTCAAGCACCGGTCCAACTCCTTCCTGTGCTGATCACTCTGCACAGTCTGGCCCGACCCCAGCTTGCTGCAGGCGAACGAGATGTCAAGACGGGTGGTACAGGCCGCGAACTGCAAGGATCCCACCGTCTGCCTGTACTCCTCCTCCTGGCGAGACAGCCATCCCACATCCTCGAAGTTCTGCACACTAAAAGGGTCAGAGGAAAGAGGGGTGTGAGGCACTCGCAGCGCTGCTCCCCGTCAAAGAAGCGCCCATGGACCTTGTCCACATAGGCCCCCTGGTGCAGCCACAGCCTCCTCGTGGGCCTGTCCCGAATCAGCTGCAACCCCAGACATTTCTCCACAGGGCTAATCTCCCGCGGCTGAAAGGCACTCTGCAGCAGGTCACGCAGCTCCGCTAGCATGCTTTGACTGCGGCTGGCAGCAAGCAGGTCATCCACATACACCAGCAGCCAGCACATCTCCCCCTCAGCATCAGTCTTGAAGTGCAGAGCCTCATCCACCTTGCTCTTCTTCCATCCATCCCCAAGCAGCACCCCATCCAAGGCCTCATACCATAGCATCGGGCTCTGCTTGAGCCCATACAGACTCTTCACCAACTTACAGACACGAGGAGTCCCATCCTCGTAGTAGCTCGGCTGCTCCATGTAAAGGTCTCGGTCCAGCACGCCATGGAGGAACGCGTTCTTCACATCGGGCTGCATCAGGTCCAAATCAAGTGCAGCTGCAATCGCCAGAAGCACACGCGCCGTCACATAGCTTCCCACAGGGGCGTACGTCTCCTCATAGTCCACCCCTGCCACCTGCGTGAATCCCTTCACCACCAGCCTCGCCTTCTCACGCTCCACTATCCCATCAGGTCGGAACTTGGTGTTCAAAATCCAGCGGTTCTTCATCACATTCACCCCTGGCGGACGCGGAACCAACTCCCACGTCCCCTGCTCAATCAAGCTCCGCATCTCCTCATCCATCGCCTCCTTCATCTTGTCTCCCTTCCAGCAGCCCAAGGCCTCCTTCACTGTCATTTTTGCTATGTCCCACTGCCTCTCAGGATCAGCTGCCACGTCCGGGTCCAGGTTAGTCCACTCCTCGTCCTCCTCCTCGTCATCCAAGCCCACTAGCTCAACCACTACAGCCCAAGCGTATCGAACAGGCGGGACACCACGAGTGATGCGAGTGGAACGACGCAGTGGTGCAGTGGTTGTCCCAGAAACCAACACATGACCACCATCTCTAATTCCCCATATCTCCTGCTCCCCTGTCTGCGGCTCCCCTGTTTGCTGCTCCCCAATCTGCTGCTCCCCTGTCTGCTGCTCCCCAATCTGCTGCTCCCCTGTCTGCTGCTCCCCTGTCTCCTGCCCCCCACTCTGCTGTACTCCATCCATACTGCTCTCGTCCTGCAGCTGCTCAGTCTCAAGGCGCTGCCCGTCGGTGATCTCCACAGACGGTGGCACCTCCATCCCCCCCTCACCAACGGGCGGCGCCGTGGAAGACGAAGAAGAGGGCGGAGCAGGTGCATGAGGGATGGAGGGTGGAAGGGGAGATGGAATAACAGGAGGAGGAGGGGAAGCCAAGGGGTGTGAGGAGGAAGAAGGCGGGGCAGGGGGAATCACACGAGGGTAGACTGAAGGCGGAGGTGGGGTGGGGACTGAGGTAGGGACATAGGGCATAGCAGGAGGTGCGACCACCTCCTCCTCCTCCTCCGCCTCCTTGAGAGTGATCGGGAAGAGTGAGGGAAGGGGCTCATAGGGCATCGAACGCCCCCCATGCTCCTGCTGATGCCAAGCCTTCCATCCTGCTAGGGACATGGTCTCATAGAACACAGCTTCCACAGTGGTGATGAGGCGGTTGGACTCCAAGTCCAGCACGGTCCAGCCCTTGCTCGCATCTGACACACCCAAGTGCAACCCCCAGCGAGCCTTAGGCGCCAGCTTCCCCCCACGCTGCGACTGTGGTACCATGTACTGCAGCATGCAGCCCCAAACATGCACCATACTGACATCAGGTTTGCGTCGGAAGGCGAGCTCGTACGGCGTCACACCAGAGGGTAGTGAGGCGTGCTCCACGCGGTTGCGCACCCAGACGGCCTGAGCCAACGCCAGGTGCCACCAGTGATGCTGCACACCCATGTGCAGCAACATCGTCCGCACCGCCTCCACAATGCTGCGCATCTCCCTCTCGGCCATCCCGTTCTGCTCCGGCGTGTACGGGCATGTGAGGTCATGGATGATGCCTTTACCGTCGTGCCCCAGGAACTCGCCACCCCGATCAGTGCGCACCGCCTGCACCGTGGTCTTGCACTGTCACTCTGCCATCGGGAGCCACTTCTGGAACGCCGCCAGCGCATCACTCTTCTGGGCCAAAGGGTAGGCCCAGACATATCGCGTCTTGCGATCCTTCAGCACCAAGAAGTAGCGGCTGCCGTCCTTAGCTGCTTCACGGAAAGGGCCACACAGGTCAGCATGCACCACCCCGAGCAACTCATCCTCCTCCTCTCCCACAGAAGGAAAGGTATGATGAGTGATCTTTCCCCCAACACAGGAGACACAAGGTATGCCTGACTTGCCCCCCTTCTCCAAATCCAAGCCCTTCACTGACCCGTGAGCCGCTGTGCGCTCGATGGCATCAATACCAACGTGTGCCATACGCGCATGCCACAGGTCCCCCTTAGACCGTACGCTCGTCGCCAAGGTACGAAGTGCCACTGTTTCGCCTTCCTGCTGCTGGGTCGAACACGGCTGGAAGTTCGTGTAGAGAACACGCTCCTTGAACCCCGCACGACCAAGGAGCGATCCATCTGGTGCCCGCAGCAAAGTCACATCCCCGGCATCCAGCAGCTGCACTCCACTATCATGCAGCTGCCCAGCAGAGAAAAGACTCGCCTGCACTCTTGGTACGTACAGCACGTCCGGCACCAAGACACACCTGCCCCCCTCCCCAAGAAGAGCGACTGTGCCTCGCCCCTGCACCTCCTGAAGGGCGCCGTTGAAGCCGGTAACCTGCTTAATGCTGCCGCCGCTGCTCATCTCCACAAAGACAGAATGATCTCCCATGAGATGGTGGGAGCATGCGCTATCAAGCAGCACGACGCTCGGGTTCGCCTTCACAGCAGTTGCAACAGCCTGTAAGCCCTCCCCGGCCTCAGGCTCTAGCACAACGAGAGGAGTCTGCTCCACAACTGGCTTCACCATCGCACATGATGACTGCCCGCTCCCCTTAGAGCAATCACCCCCCTTAAAGGGGGAAATGAAAGGGAGTAGGGGGGAGAATGATAGGGAGAAGGGCGGGAATGAGGGTGGGAAGAGGGCGAAGTGAGAGGGAGAAGGGGGGTAAGTGAGGGGGAGCAGGGGGAGAACTGAGGGCGAGAAGGGGGGGGGGGGGGGGGTGAGAGGGAGCAAGGGGGGAAATGAGAGGGAGAAGAGGGGGGGGGGAAGAGAGGGAGAAAAGGGGGATTTGAGAGCTAGAAGGGGGGGATTTGAGAGGGGGAATGGGGACAAAATGAGATGGAGCAAGGAGGGAAAGGAGAGTTGAGAAGGGGGGGAAATGAGGGGGAGAAGGGGGGAAAATGAGAGGGAGAAGAGGGGGAAATGAGAGGGAGAAGGGGGGAGGGGATGAGAGGGATGAGGGGGGGATTTAAGAACGAGAAGGGGGGATATGTGGGGGAGAAGGGGGGGGGAATGAGAGGGAGCAGGAGGGGGAACGATGGTGAGTAGGGAGGGAGCTGAGAGGGAGCAAGGGGGGAAATGAGAGGGAGCAAGGGTGGAAGTGAGAGGGAGTAGGGGGGAAAATGAGGGCGAGAAGAGGGGGGGGGATGAGGGGGTGAAGGGGGGGGGGGGTGAGAGGGATAAGAGGGGGATTTGAGAGCGAGTCGGGGGGAATTTGAGAGGGAGAAGGGGGGAAATGAGGGAGAGAAGGGGGAGCAATGAGGGGAGAAGGGGGGGAAATGAGGGGGAGAAGGGGGGGAAATGAGGGGGAGAAGGGATGGTAATAAGAGGGAGAAAGGGGGGAAATGAGGGAGAGAAGGGGGGGGGGAATGAGGGGGGGCAGGTCGTGAAATGAGAGGGACGATACCAGAATGAGGGGGAGAAGGGGGGGAAATGAACGCGAGAAGGGGGGGGGGAATGAGGGGGCGAAGGGAGGGGGGGGGGGTGAGAGGGATAAGAGGGGGATTTCAGAGCGAGTCGGGGGGAATTTGAGAGGGAGAAGGGGGGAAATGAGGGGGAGAAGGGGGGGAAATGAGGGGGAGAAGGGGGGGAAATGAGAGAGAAAAGGGGGGTTAATGAGAGGGAGGAGGGAAATGAGAGGGAGAAGGGGAGGAAATGAGGGGGAGAAAGGGGGAGATTAAAGGGAGAAGAGAGGGTAATAAGAGGGAGAAAGGGGGGAAATGAGAGAGAGAAGTGGGTGAAATCAGGGGGACCAGGTCGGGAAATGAGAGGGAGAAGGGGGGAAATGAGGGGGACGAACGAGAGAAGGCGGTCCTGATGAAAGCGAGACGTTTTGACGAACGAAGTGGCTTGTGAGGCGAGCAGCGCGTGAGACGAGCAGCGTGTGAGGCAAGCAGCGCGTGAGACGAGCAGCGTGTGAGGCGAGCAGTGCGTAAGGCGCGCAACGAGTGAGGCGCGCAGCGCGTGAGGCACGCAGCCCGTGAGGCGAGTCGCGGGTGAGGCGCGCAGCGCGTGATGCGAGCAGCGGGCGATGCGAGCAGCGGGCGATGCGAGCAGCGGGTGATGCGAGCAGCGGGCGATGCGAGCAGCGGGTGATGCGAGCAGCGGGTGATGCGAGCAGCGGGTGATGCGAGCAGCGGGCGATGCGATCAGCGGGCGATGCGAGCAGCGGGCGATGCGAGCAGCGGGCGATGCGAGCAGCGGGCGATGCGAGCAGCGGGTGATGCGAGCAGCGGGTGATGCGAGCAGCGGGTGATGCGAGCAGCGGGTGATGCGAGCAGCGGGTGATGCGAGCAGCGGGTGATGCGAGCAGCGGGTGATGCGAGCAGCGGGTGATGCGAGCAGCGGGTGATGCGAGCAGCGGGTGATGCGAGCAGCGGGTGATGCGAGCAGCGGGTGATGCGAGCAGCGGGTGATGCAAGTAGCGGGTGATTCGAGCAGCGGGTGATGCGAGCAGCGGGTGAGGCGCTAAGCTGTAAGCTGGTGAGGCGCGCAGCGGGGTAGGCGAGAAGCGGGTGACGTGCTAAGAGGGTGTCGCGAGCTGCTTGTTCGGCGAGAATTACTTGGCGAGGACAACGAATGGATCGCGGCGAACCTGCCTAATGCTATTGAATGATCCAGACGGCGCTGGAGCTGAAGGGAGTTGGCGGGCACTAGACGGTCCTTGTCGTGACTACGTGTGCAATCTAACACCAGCGACTGTGTAAGTGGTTGCGCTGTTCCAGTCACTGCCTCGTCGCCTCCCGTGTAGTTCTATCGCAGCCCCGTTAGTAACATCGCGACTTGTTTTTGTATCAGTGAGCACCATTTTGTAGTTTGGGTGACGGGAGGGTGTTAGTGCCCTGACAACGCAACCCTCACTGGACGCTTCAAACTTTCGCCAACCTCTCGCCAAGCTCATTCGATCTCGTTGTGGCGAAATCTTTTTGGACACTGTTCAAACCGCAACAGTACTCTCAAATGTATACAAAAGCTTTAATGGTTAGAGAAGTACCACGGTTGTAAAATGGGCTGTTGGGTCAATGGAAGCAGAAGGGGGGGGGTGGGGGGTTGGGGGGTTATTGGTGGGTGGGAACTGGATACGAGACATGGATGTTAACGGAAGAAACAGGAGGGAAAAAAGGGTTGGATGGAGGAGAGGGGCATTGGGGGATTCTGACCAGCGTGCAGTGAGCTTCTTCTGCCACGCGAAAGAAGTGAATTTGTTAGACATCTAAGAAATTCACTTCTTTCGAGAGGGGTCTTGGGAGAGGAGAGATGCAGATTCCGACCAGCGTGCAGCCAGCTTCCGCCCCCCTCTTCCCTCCCATGCCTACTTATCTGCTGCCTCCACCCACTCGCCACTGACTGCCTCCACCCACTCGCCCACTTGCCAGTGACTGCCTCTGTAAGGATCAGAAGAAGCACTGCTGCCTCGCCTTCTGCTGCCTCGCCTTCTGCTGCCTCGCCTTCTGCTGCCTCGCCTTCTGCTGCCTCGCCTTCTGCTGCCTCACCTTCCGTTGCCTCACCTTCCGCTGCCTCACCTTCCGCTGCCTCACCTTCTCCTCACCTTCTGCTGCCTCACCTTCTGCTGCCTCACCTTCTGCTGCCTCACCTTCTGCTGCCTCACCTTCTGCTGCCTCGCCTTCTGCTGCCTCACCTTCTGCTGCCTCACCTTCTGCTGCCTCACCTTCTGCTGCCTCACCTTCTGCTGCCTCACCTTCTGCTGCCTCACCTTTTGCTGCCTCACCTTCAGCTGCCTCGCCTTCTGCTGCCTCACCTTCTGCTGCCCCCCTCTTCTCTCCCATGCCTACTCGCCTGCTGCCTCCACCCACTCGCAAATGACTGCCTCCACCCACTCGCAAATGACTGCCTCCACCCACTCGCAAATGACTGCCTCTACTGCAGCTTCTGCCTAGGTGAGGAATAGGGTGAGAAAGTGTTTCAAATATCACCACCTACTCCGCTTCTCTCACCTCCGCTTTGGCATGTCGCCCTGCCTGCCATCAGCTGAAGAGCCATCCACAACCTCATACCCATGGCTTATGCTGCCTCAACCTGCCCCCCCCTCTCACCCATGTGTCGGCCTCCCATGTGTCGGCCTCCCATGTGTCGGCCTCCCATGTGTCGGCCTCCCATGTGTCAGCCTTCCACGTGTCAGCCTCCCATACCTCCCTCCTGCCCGCCTCCACCACACTCCTTGCTGACCGCCTTCACCGCCAGCACTGCTGCTGCATCTCACGAGCATGCAATCGTTAGCAAAGTGACATCTGGGTGGGGCAAGAAGATGGTCCTGTGATATCCTGTTAAGCTTCTCTTACTTCTGCCACCCCTGCCGCTACCAGCTAAGAGTCTGACATCTCATAACGAGACCTCGTTTTCGCAAAGACATCAACCCTAGGGCAGAATACGGTAACCTCGTCCGACTTGCCACCTTTTCAATCCATGGTTGGTTGAATATTGGGCGTGACGACACCATCAAGCCAGTGCAAATGCCAACTAAAAGACACCATGGCCCGAGCAGGTGCGTGCCTGACCGCATAGGGTGTGTGCCTGACATAGACTGTGTTGCTAACCTTTAGGTGTGGTTCGGCCTAAGTTGGAATATACGCTACTTTCATTTTGCGTTTTGCGTTTATACGCTTGTCGAACTCGTACGTTGCGTATAGTTTGAAAATTCGCCGAGTTGAATTTCGGGCAGACCGAAAAAAAAAAACAAAATTTCAATCTGAAGCTCGCGACGTGGCGATCTCAATTCCGAGTCGCAGATGTCGCGAAATGAACTCAAATTTTGAATTTCGAGCACCAAACCTCATCAACCCCTCCCCTCAAACGTTTCACACCCCTTTGAACCACAGCATTCCACCATCCCCTCCAAGTGCTACTTTACTGGTTGGGAGCTCAACCCAACCCAATCTCCCAGGCATAAAGAGAGGCGTTTGTTCCCTCGACATTCATTCTCTCGCTTCCTAGCTATGTCCTTTCCCAAGCCACCATGGCTTCCACTCCTACAGCAACCACTTCTCGTACGCCACCCTCAGAGTCTCCTGGTAGTTCCGCTGGTGGGACCTCTTCTAGTACGTCTTTGGTCTGCATGGACAGCAAGCACGCAGTCTACCGTCACTTCAAGGTGCCGGCCAATAGCGTTGGCGAGAACGGCACCAAGGTGTGTGCCTACTGCAACTTCACGTTTGTTGGCGGGGTTCACCGTTGCGCGCAACATATCACCAGCTGGAACGGCATGCGCCGTCGCGAAGTGCATCTCTGCACTGCAGCGCCGAAGACTGCACGTGACGCCGTGAAGGCGCTTTACGAGTCTAAGTTGAAGGCCCATGAAGCGAAGCGTGCGGCTGAAATTGCGGCGGTCCGCGCAGTCAACGGTAGAGGTTCGGACAAGAAGAAGAGTCGGATGACCGACTTCTACGGCGACGACGCCGTGTGCGCGAACCAAGCTGCGGACGAGGCCATAAGTCTCTTCTTTGCCGCTCTTCATGTGCCGGAGCATCACGCGGACCACCCACTGTGGCGGAATGTGGTCTCTAGCATCCACCGCGCGGGGCCGAATTACGTCGCGCTGAAGAGACGCTACATCGGTGGCGTCGGTCTTGCAAAGTGTCGCCAGCGCATTGAGGCGGCGCTCGCTCCTATCTCAGCAAGCTGGCGCCGTGACGGTGTCACCGTGGCAAGCGACATGTTCTCCGACAAGGCCGACCGCCCGCAAGCCAACGTGCTCCTCATCAACGATAGCGGTGCGGTGTTTGTGGAGTCGATCGACACGAAGATGGAGATGAAGACCGGGGGCTACATCGCGGGCATCTTGCGGCCCATCATCGAAAAGGTCGGCCACGAGAATGTCGTCGCCTTGTGTTTTGACGGCGGCTCCAACTACGCGGCGGCATGCAGGGTGTTGATGCGCGAGTATCCCCACATTGAACACATCCCTTGCACGACCCATGTCCTCGATCTCCTGATGGAGGACATCGGGAAAAAGGGATGGGCGAAGGACATCGTCACGCGCGGGGACACCCTCATCTCGTTCGTCCGCAACCACCACTTCACCCGGGGATACATGCGGAGTCCGCTCGTGAACGGCGGCAAGGGGAAACAGGTTCTCAAGCCAGCGGGAACCCGATTCGGCACCAACTACATCGCCATCAACCGCCTCTGTGAAGTGCGCGCCGGCCTGACGCAGATGGTCCTCAGCGATGAGTGGGCCGAGTGGACTGCGGCTGTAGACAGGGCTGGGGCAGACACATTCAAAGACAACATCCTCGATGCCGCGTGGTGGACGCGCGCCGAGTTCTTCGCTAAGCTGATGAGGCTGCCATTCGTCGTCATGTGCAAGACTGACTCGGATTCGAAGGGCATGATGGGTCGTCTCTACGACCTCATGCTCCAGCTCACCGAGGACATCCGCGACTTCCTCGACGAGCATGCGGACGGGGTCCTGACAAGCGACGAGGTGGGGGATATTCGGGAGATCGTGCAGGACCGCTGGGACAACGGGCTGGCGTGCAACCTGCACGTGATTGGCCGCATCCTCTACCCCACCAACCAGGAAGAGTGCATTTTCCGCACCGACCTGGAGTGCACGAGGGTCTTCAAGCAGTACGTCTCCAAGCACCATGGTGACAAGACGGTCACCAGGAAGGACGGGGTCGAGCGCCGCGCCTCTCTCGTCATCCAGGAAGGCCTCAATGCCTTCATGAACCTCCAAGGCAGCTTCGGCATGCCCGACGCTATTGCCGACCGCCAGGCAGTGAAGGAGGGCAAGATGACGGCGGTGGACTGGTGGACATGGCACGGGACCGATCATCCTGAGCTCACCACCATGGCTTGCCGCGCCATCACGCAGCCGGTGTCTGCGTCTCCATGTGAGCGTAACTGGGCGAAGTTTGATGCAGTGCATACGGCAAGGAGGAACCGCCTCGGCGCGGTGAAGCTTCGTGACCTGGTGTATGTGACGCACAATTGGCAGGTGGTGCACAACTGGCACAAGGCCCTTGAAGGGTTGAGGGTGGTGAAGGGAAACATCGAGGACCCCCCCACTCCGGCTGGCTATAATGTCCCGGAGGAGGTGGAGGAATCTGAGGAGGGGGAGGATGATGTGATGGCAGATGAGTACTAGTGGATGGAAGGCTCCATGCATGAGCGGCAGGCGGGGGATGGAGGGTGGACCTGAGTAGAGTAGGGGATGGGGGGGTAGTAGCATGATTAAGGTGGGTGAAGTTGTAGCGGCAAATTAGTTTTAAGGGTTTTTTTTTTTCCTGTAACTTTCATATTAATACAAAGGGGATGGGGGTTACAACACCCCCCCATCCCCACCTCTTACCCCAAAAATCTGCCCGGGGAAAAGTTTTTTCCTGCCCGGGCAAGCGGATTCTTGTGCGTACCAGACCCCTCAGGGACTGCGGTTTGCGCATATACTCTAGCATTTATACAGCAAGCGTACAAAACGCTAAACGCGTATATTCCAACTTAGGGTTCGGCTGGGCCCTCAATAAATACATAATTCACCAGTCTTGCCTGCATGGGACCTCCTGTTGGCTTAACAGCTCTACGTCTGACCTGTATCAGCACCATATATGCCTCGCCTATCCTCTATGCCTGACCTAACCTAACCTGTATGCCCCACCTGGTATGTATGCCCGACCTGACAAGTATGTTTGACCTAGGGTGTGTGTCTGACTTAAGGTGCATTCCTGACGAAATATATTGTGTGCCTTTATCCACTTGCTGCTGCCTCAAGGTGTGCTTGAACTCGCATGTGAGCATGGCATGTGCTCGCCCCTCAACATGCTTCACGTGCTTGAAAGACCCGCCTCCACGACTGCCGCTGCTGGACTGGAACGGTGTCGCATCCACAGCTGCTGCCTCGCTCCTCCCTCCCACGCCTCTCCTGCCTGCCTCCACCCACTCGCCGCTGACTGGTTTTGCCACCACGACTGCTGCTGGCTGCAGCCTATGGCTCTGCCATGCCGCCCCGCTGTGTGTCCAGGCGATGAGATGGGCTCTCACGGCTAGTGAAGAGCGGGTGCTGCTGATGTGGGAAAGGGATGGGAGTGGGGAGAGAGAGGGGGCGGCGAAGGAGGTGCTGTGCCATGCTGTGTGCCGCAGTGATGAGCTGTGCTCCTCATGGTTAGTTCAGGGCAAGTGCTGTTGGTGTGGGAAGGAAAAAGGGTAGGGAGAGGGTGGGGAGTGCAAAAGAGGTGCTCTGCCATGCCGTCCCGCTGTGTGTCGCAGCGATAAGTTGGGCACCTCACGATGAGTTCATGGTAGGTGCTGTTGGCGCGGGAAGGGAAGGGGTGGGGAGAGAGTGGGGAGGGGGAAAGATGTGCCGTGCCATGCTGTGTGTCGCAGCGATAGGTTGGGCACCTCACGATGCGTTCATGGTAGGTGCTGTTGGCGCGGGAAGGGAAGGCGAGCTGGAAGGAAAGGTAAAAGAAAGGGGCGGAGTTCAGACGAGGAGGAGGGAGGGGAGGGGGGGTGGGGGGTGTTGATGAAAGCTGATGGTGCATACTAAAATGTAGCATTGAAACATTCCGATTCGGCAGCACACTGGGACCAGCAACGCCACTTTGACCATGGATAGGAGACGGCGAAAGGGAGGGATGGAGAACGGCGACTAATATTCACTTTCCGACGTGGCCGCGGTGGTGCCATTTCATCCAACTCGGCTTCGCTCACCTCTACAAAATGTGTGACACCACAGCCCATGCCCAAAACTGGATTTTCCCGATCTTTGCGCACAGACTATTGAACAAGCAATGACTAGGGTTACTTGAAACATTGTTTAGGAGGGTACGCA